GTCCCAAATTAGAGCCTGTGTTAATGTATAAAAATAGACCAAACCCGGATATAAGAGAAAAACCCGGATATAAGAGATTGTGTCTCTGGTCCCAAATTAGAGCCTGTGTTAATATATAAAATAGACCAAACCCGGATATAAGAGAAACCCGGATATAAGAGAGATTTTCTCTGGTCCCAAATTAGAGCCTGTGTTAATGTATATAAAATAGACCAAACCCGGATATAAGAGAAACCCGGATATAAGAGAGATTGAAAAATTAGAGCCTGATATAAGAGAAACCCGGATATAAGAGAGATTTTCTCTGGTCCCAAATTAGAGCCTGTGTTAATGTATATAAAATAGACCAAACCCGGATATAAGAGAAACCCGGATATAAGAGAGATTTTCTGGTCCCAAATTAGAGCCTGTGTTAATGTATATAAAATAGACCAAAACCGATATAAGAGAAACCCTGGATAAACCCCAAATTAGAGCCTGATATAAAGAGAAACCCGGATATAAGAGAGATTTTTTTCTGGTCCCAAATTAGAGCCTGTGTTAATGTATATAAAATAGACCAAACCCGGATATAAGAGAAACCCGGATATAAGAGAGATTTTCTCCCCAAATTAGAGCCTGATATATAAAATAGACCAAACCCGATATAAGAGAAACCCGGATATAAGAGAGATTGTCTCTGGTCCCAAATTAGAGCCTGTGTTAATGTATATAAAATAGACCAAACCCGGATATAAGAGAAACCCGGATATAAGAGAGATTTTCTCTGGTCCCAAATTAGAGCCTGTGTTAATGTATATAAATTAGACCAAACCCGATATAATATAAGAGAGATTGTCTCTGGTCCCAAATTAGAGCCTGTGTTAATGTATATTTCTTGTCTGGTCCCAAATTAGAGCCTGTGTTAATGTATATAAAATAGACCAAACCCGGATATAAGAGAAACCCGGATATAAGAGAGATTGTCTCTGGTCCCAAATTAGAGCCTGTGTTAATGTATATAAAATAGACCAAACCCGGATATAAGAGAAACCCGGATATAAGAGAGATTGTCTCTGGTCCCAAATTAGAGCCTGTGTTAATGTATATAAAATAGACCAAACCCGGATATAAGAGAAACCCGGATATAAGAGAGATTTTCTCTGGTCCCAAATTAGAGCCTGTGTTAATGTATATAAAATAGACCAAACCCGGATATAAGAGAAACCCGGATATAAGAGAGATTTTCTGGTCCCAAATTAGAGCCTGTGTTAATGTATATAAAATAGACCAAACCCGGATATAAGAGAAAATCGGATATAAGAGAGATTTTCTCTGGTCCCAAATTAGAGCCTGTGTTAATGTATATAAAATAGACCAAACCCGGATATAAGAAAAAATTAGAGCCCGGATATAAGAGAGATTTTCTATGGTCCCAAATTAGAGCCTGTGTTAATGTATATAAAATAGACCAAACCCGGATATAAGAGAAACCCGGATATAAGAGAGATTTTCTCTGGTCCCAAATTAGAGCCTGTGTTAATGTATATAAAATAGACCAAACCCGGATATAAGAGAAACCTGGATATAAGAGAGATTTTCTCTGGTCCCAAATTAGAGCCTGTGTTAATGTATATAAAATAGACCAAACCCGGATATAAGAGAAACCCGGATATAAGAGAGATTTTCTGGGTCCCAAATTAGAGCCTGTGTTAATGTATATAAAATAGACCAAACCCGGATATAAGAGAAACCTGAAACCCCTGTGTTAATGTATATAAAATAGACCAAACCCGATATAAGAGAACCTATAAGAGAGATTTTCTCTGGTCCCAAATTAGAGCCTGTGTTAATGTATATAAAATAGACCCAAACCCGGATATAAGAGAAACCCGGATATAAGAGAAATTTTCTCTGGTCCCAAATTAGAGCCTGTGTTAATGTATATAAAATAGACCAAACCCGGATATAAGAGAAACTCGGATATAAGAGAGATTTTCTCTGGTCCCAAATTAGAGCCTGTGTTAATGTATATAAAATAGACCAAACCCGGATATAAGAGAAAACCCGGATATAAGAGAGATTTTCTCTGGTCCCAAATTAGAGCTGTGTTAATGTATATAAAATAGACCAAACCCGGATATAAGAGAAACTCGGATTAAATTTTCTCTGGTCCCAAATTAGAGCCTGTGTTAATGTATATTGACCAAACCCGGATATAAGAGAAACTCGGATTAAGCAGATTTTCTCTGGTCCCAAATTAGAGCTAAAATAATCAAACCCGATTAGCCCGGATATAAGAGACTTTCTTCCTGACAATTCTCTTATATCCGGTTACATTGTACCAAGGTTAAATGAAAAAATTTTGTTGACCATTATAAGTGAAAGCAGCTTTTGACATCTTTAATCTTAGCGCCAGGTTATTTTTATGATCAAGCGTTTTTCTTTTGCGCCATTCCACGATTTTTTAAAAATCTTGCAAGAGCAAAATGGATTCTAATTGGAAATACTTTCTCCGTTTAATTTTGAGTTGCATAATACTACAGACAATTTAAATCATTATTTCTCAACCTTTTCTTCCCTGTGGCCCCCACTTTTTGGTGTCAAAAATTTCAGACCCACATAAGCACAAACAGAATTTCCATGTAACAGGAAATACATTTTGAGAAAAGAAAATGCAGCAGAGAATATAAATCCCGATTAATGACTACACGACTCTTGGTGTCCCCAGGCCCATTTAAAATATTTCTCAGTTATATATTTGTGTCTAATTTGGGGCCTAAGGTACCACGTTGAGAATCATTAATTTAGTCGATATGGATAACCATGAACAGATAAGCATGAAATAGAAACATATGAAAGTAAAAAAAAGCTTTACTGATGAAGGAAGTGCGGTTTCGGCATTAAACTTCGAATGAAAATGCGAAGTTGTCCAGACTGTCCCACGTTGATTCAAGAAAAGAATGTCAATAAGAACGGGTTAACAGTTAACCATTTTCTTATTCGACGGTCAGCATTAAAAGCGAAGATAGAACCAAAATTAGATTGTGTTTTTGTCAAAGAGAATTTTCTCGGAGTTAATTGACAGGCGTGGTTGTAAGGTTAATTTGGTTTATATATGTTCAATGTCCTTTTGCGTGATTAGCCAGCAATGTTTTATGAATAAATGTATTGTGTTAAAAGCTGCACGTAAAGATTTTCTTGCATTTGACAATGAATAAAGATGCGCAGCTAGCATAACGGTTACCAGCACGGAAAATTGAAATTAACAGGAGTTAAAATTTCGGTCAATTCTGTTTCCTTCACTTCGAGCTAACACTCTTGGGGAAGGCATGAATCCACCTTCTCACACGTATGGTTTAAATATCAATGTAGACTGGGCTCCTTTGGCTCGAGTAGCAGACTGTATAGAAAAACTGCTCTAAAATCAAACCACGTTTCTCTGAGTACATCTTTAGGTTTTAACATTATTCCACGACAATGAAACATGAACGAGCCTCTTAGAATATTTCGTAGTACACTGGGAACCGTTTCTTAGTTAGTTTATCCGAAACATGTCGCTGATTCTACATAACTCTTCAATATCTGTCTATATCTCTGAGATGAGGGTTTATGATTAATTACATTATTTACATTATTCGGCCATATTTGAATATGGCGATGAAGATGAGGATAACAGTCCGCATAATATCAATAATGTAAATAGCTATTCAACCGTGAAATCCAATAACTGAGTCTATATTGAATCTACAGACTCAGTTCTCAATCTGAACAGTTGGAGCCTGTTACGTCAAAATTCACAAGACAATGCATTATACCTAGGAATATGTTTTAGATTACAGAATTTTGTGGATGCCCATGTTTGAGTAGACGTCTTGTTACTTTTAAATAGTGTGAATTACGTCTAGAAACTAGCGCCTTCGAGAAGGTTAATGAAAATCTGCTCTAGGGCAAGATTTGAAATAACCACCGTCTAATCCGTCTTTTCGAAGAAAACACCGTCTAATCCGGCATACCTTAGAATCTAAGGTATGCAGCAAGCTCCAATTATACCTGTGATTTCTGCAAGATTATTGGTAGTTCTACGAGAAAAGGTAAGAAAAAAAATGAAATGCGATGGGAAAAATGACATCATGGCTCAAAGAGTATGGGTCCAGGTGATTATATTTATATTGACAAACAAATCTATCACGTTTACGTGATGTCTGTATTTGAAAAACAAAACAGATATGTTCAAATAGCGTTTCTCACACTTTATCCAGAATGCCTACAATCATTTTTACGCCACTTAAATCCTGTGAACTTTACAACTGCGGATGATCTTTAATCGCGATAAGTCAAGCGTTAATGTGTGAAGAAATCGCGTATTTAAAGATGGACAGAACGACACACAGCAACTTAGCAATAAATCATCATAAAAAATCGACATGTGATCTATAATTCGGATTTAAAGCAGAATTCGATCAACAAGTGTAACCTCACAAGGAAAATGAAAACAACCGGAGAACTGACCTGCAAATACTCTTGGAATATACAAAAATAAATCAGAATGTGCGCTTAAAAGTCCAACCAATAACAAGAATCTCTTGGGAAAAGAGAAGACGATCAGGGAATTGATCAGAGAAAACGCGAGAAGAATAAAGAAATAAATCCGAATCGAGTTTTTATATGCAAATGCACAAATAGATTTCCAGTGTGCTGCAGTAAACGAAAGAAGAGACTATGGTGGGGTTTCCTGTTAATAGAAGTTTCGGGGCCTTCTGTAAGACGATGGTTTTATTTTGATTTTTCAGGAACTAATTCAATTTCAACCCATCACCTTATTTTTCTTAATTATTTTCTTTATTCAAATCAAATATTGTATATTTGGGCAGCAACCTTTCTTTTATATATGCTTCAATGAATCGGACAAATTAAGAAAGGTGTTTTTTTTTTTCTAATGTTCTTGCAGTTTTCTTTTTGGAAAGACCAAGAGAGTCTAGAAACTGCCCGGTTGGTTATTATCCCATTGAATGAATTAGCCGAAAGCGCTTAGAAGAATCACCATTTTCTTTCTTTCTTTCTTTCTTTCTTTCTTTCTTTCTTTCTTTCTTTCTTTCTTTCGTTGTTTCTTTATTTATTTCGTTGTTTGTTTCTTTCTTTTCCGCTGTTTCTTTCTTTCTTTCTTTCTTTCTTTCTTTCTTTCTTTCTTTCTTTCTTTCGTTGTTTCTTTATTTATTTCGTTGTTTCTTTCTTTCTTTTCCGCTGTTTCTTTCTTTCTTTCTTTCTTTCTTTCTTTCTTTCTTTCTTTCTTTCGTTGTTTCTTTATTTATTTCGTTGTTTCTTTCTTTCTTTTCCGCTGTTTCTTTCTTTCTTTCTTTCTTTCTTTCTTTCGTTGCTTCTTTATTTATTTCATTGTTTCTTTCTTTCTTTTCCGCTGTTTCTTTCTTTCTTTCTTTCTTTCTTTCTAAACCTTTATTTAGGGCTTCTTGTTTCGAGCATCTGTTCGTAGATATTAGGTTGAGTCATAAATATTTTCCGTTTTCTTGTTTATTAAATTTATTCTTCAAAGACAATTACATCTTAGTCAAATATACATTCGCGATTGTTTGTAATTACTTGTTCAGACAACTCTTCGTTACTTTTTGAGTAAAATTTTAAAAGGTTTAAGATGGAAACGTTTCAAACGAATTTCTTGTGCCCAGTCTTCATCAGAGAAATCTTTCGCTATGAAGGCTTTTGGCAGCGATCTAAAAAGGTAATAACCGATTGGTCCACGGTCAGGTAGATATGGCGGCTGGGGTAGAACACACCAACCGAGCTCCAATTTCTTTTTTTCTTGTGCTATTCTTTCAGTATGCATCTTTGCGTTGGTGGGTTAAACGAAAACCATGTTCTCCTCTAAAGGAGAACAACATTTTAGTTTAATCCTCTGTGTATGCTGCCACTGCCGCAAAAAAGGTATATTAATGTACTCCAAATTTATATATACCAGGTGTAACAGCAAAATTTTACAAATCATGTAACAGCATGGAATAATTATCCATCCCACCAATTGTTTAATATCTAAAAAAACACTACACTAATGAGTTTCTTTTTTTTCCAGGCTTTCAGATAAAATGTTTAGCCATCTTGACACCATTTGTCGTAAGAATCACTTAAAAAGAACTTTGAATTATTCAGCTAAAATGAGAACAGGTTAAAATCGTTTTGTGTCAGCTCTACTATGTCTTTCCAACGGTGAGAGGAAAAGATCATTCAGGCCTTCAGTAATGGTACCAATATTCATACTCTGGCGTCCATCTTCAAAGTCCATTGAAGTACTCTCAAGAGAACGGTCAATAAGTTTAAAAAGAGGGAAAAAGAGGAGGTGAAAACAGCAAGATTTATAATATATATATATATATATATATATATATATATATATATATATATATATAAATATATATATATATATATATATATATATATATATATATATATATATATATATTGTGTATTTCTCGCGTGGTTATGTTTGATGTTATAGACCGCGGTACGATTTTCGCTTCCAGTGGCTCGTATGCACGAGTTGCTATATCCGTGTATTGTTTAATTTATTGTAATGTACTTCTCATCCCTGATGATGGCTTATGTTAGCCGAAAACTTAGATAGGATTAAAAAACAAAAAACAAAACATGTATAAATATGGTGTTTTCCTTTCGTTTTTCAATGATAATGTTATTAAGCTTATCGGTCGATATAAAAGGAATTTGCTTAAAATAGTCAAAACTTGTCTATATTATTTAATGAAACATGTATTAATATATATATATATATATATATATATATGTGTGTGTGTGTGTGTGTGTGTGTACGTGTGTGTGTGTGATTTATTTGGGACGCAAACCGCCTCCATGCGGATAGAAAATGAATTCATTAAATACACATTAATAGAAAGCATCGTAGGACAAGGATATATCTTCTTACAGGACTTATTTAACTTTACAGAGAAGCAATCCTGAGAGAATTACAAGTCCTACCAGGATTCATTATTGGCGGCCACAATCTTAACAACATTTAATATGTAGAGAACACAGTGTTATAGCAGACACAGAAGGGAGTAAAGGAAAGTGGAAAGAAATGACTAAACATCTGTTGTATAAAGACAGAATGTATGTTTATTTGCGAATGGAACATCCAATTAAACATTGGAGATACCCAATTTAAAAAGTCGAGAAATTTAAATGTCAAGGAAGTGTTTTAATAGACGACGGAAAATCAACGAAATCTGAAGGTTCACTGGGATAGCCAAAGATGACTTCCAAAAGCTTAGCAAAGTATTAAGAAACAGGAAAAGATAAAAGTACTGAACTTATGTACTATCGATCCTTCTATATGTCAGTAAATGCTGGACAATCTCATCACAGATGTAGAAGAGACCTGAGGCAACAGAAATATGGATCTACAGAAGGATACTGAGGATAACCTGTACTGAACATGTGATCAACGACAATGTTTTAGGGAGAATAGATAAGAAAAGAACACATACTTTGCACCAGAAAGTGATGAGAGAAGAAGGTTTGGAAAAATTGACACTCACAGAGCTTATTGATAGCAAGAGGAACAGAGGAAAACAGGAACAATAAATGTTTGGCTGAACTGGAATTAGGACAAAACAGCCAAAAGACAAAGCTTACTAAGAACTACAAAGTATAAGGTGTTTTGAAGACCCATGATTGCCAGTATCCTTTCGGCACACGGCCCAAAGTATATGAAACTTTCTTTTTTTTTCATTCTGAATTAACTGATTTTCATTTTGGCCATTTTGAATTTACTATTTCGTCTTTGTCGCCATTTTGAATGTACTATTTTTCAAAATTTTCTAGGGCGCATATTGAGGAAAGCGAGCTTGGAAAATTTGACACTCACAGAATTTATTGTAGGCAAGAGGTACAGAGGAGAGCTGCAAGTGATATACGTAACGAGATTGTATAAATGGTTGGTAGAACAGGGATTAGGAGAGATAGTAAAAACTTTATTAAGAACTACAAAGGATAGTAAATTGTGGAGAGTCGTGAAGGGACACGGCATAATAAAGAAGAAGAAGAAGAAGAAGAAGAAGAAAAAGAAGAAGAAGAAGAAGAAGAAGAAGAAGAAGAAGAAATGTCTCATACTGTGGATGTCGTTATTTTTGGAGCCAAAGGATTGGTGCAGTTTACGATGCAACCTATCTTTTGTTTTTATCTAATCACTTCTTTTCCATATCCACAGCAGGTCATCCGGTTCACTGATGAACGAAAGAATTACTGTTATTTCTCTTTCTTTATTTCGTTTTGTTTTGTTTCTCAGAACTTGTCCGACGGGAAATATTGAATCAGGGTAATCACATTAAACACGGGCCACGACCGATTCACTTATATACATTAAAATTCTCAAGGGAGAAAGCACACTTGGGCGATATTTAATTTCTTGTTATTATGTGTGTTGATATTTCACTCTTCTACAAAAGAAAATATTACAATTATTCTAAATTGAAGTCGACAAAATGCTTGGATAGGGTGCAGGGGAAGCAAATATTTTTTCTGTAATCAAACAGAACAAACATTCGAGGATTGCTGCTTAGTGTTTGTTCATTCTATTGCGGAAGAAACCATGCAACTATTGACGCATTATTTGTTTTTCTTTTTAAATAATTCAATGAAACGCTACCCAATGATCAAAGCAGAATTATTGCCATTATTCGATGAATTTATTACGGTTCAATTGGTACAATTGCCGATGTTCTTTCGTTGTTTGAATCGCCTAACATGAAATATTGTCATTTTATTAAGAGTATTTACTACTTCGCTGAGATTTCTGACTGTATTGATAGTCCGAAGTTCGAAATATGGTTTTTATTTTAGTCGACTTAACGGCATTTCCACATTTGATAGTTTATGTAATGTCGAACAGTCATTCTATTTTTATTTTAACTTATGATGTCCTAAATATGAAACATTGTGATTGACCATGAATTCAGTACGTTTCGATCATTGCTATTTCCGACTTCCATAAATGACTGAATTCATAAAAATGCATTATTGTAATTTAAAATCTAATTTCGACTGTCACCATTCCCAACCATTTTCAACTTTTCAAGCCCTAAATATAAAATATCATCATTTAAACGCCAATTCACAAGGTTTCGATCATTGGGGTTACGGCCATCATCTTTGTATTCAGCCCTAAATATGAAATATTGTCATTTAATCAGTAATTAAGTACATTTCGACCGTTGTGATTTCCGACCATCTTTGTATTCAGCCCTAAATATGAAATATTGTCACATAACAAAGTACTTCACTACGTTTCGATCATTGAGATTTCAGACCATCTTCTTTGTCTTCTAAATATGAAAACAGATATCATTTAACTTGAAATTTAGTATTTGTTGGTCGGTATTGTTTCCAACCTTCACCTTTCATTAGAAAATATTGTTAGTCATATCAATATTTTCCATGTTTTTGTCGTTCCTGAACATCTTCACTGTTTGAACACCTAAAGAATAAATATTTTAGAAAGTGTTTTAACGGAGGACTGGGAATTCGACACCAAAACCGGAAGGTACATTAGTATTGAGAAAGATGCCTTTCAAAAGCTAAGCAATGTATTAAGGAACAGGAAAATTTAATTTGAAACAAGGAAAAGAGTTCGAAACCGTTATTTAATATCAATCTCATGACAGATGATGAATAACTTGTAGCGATAGAAATGTGGTTATACAGAGGGATGTTGTGAATAGCATGGTTAAACATGTTAGCAACGACGTAGTTTTAGAGAAACCATTTTCTCTAAAACTACGTCGTTGCTAACATGAGAGAGAGAGAGAGAGAGAAAGAGAGAGAGAGAGACATCGGACATGTAGTGCTGTTGTTAATAAAAGAGTGATGTAATAAAACAGAGCTGTTAAACAAAGCGAATACTTACACTTTACATGAGAAAGCAGCAGTTGAAATTTATAGGGTGCATAATGAGAAAAGAAGGCTTCGAGAATTTGACACACAAAGAACATATTGAAGGAAGATGGATAGATTAATGCAGCAAGTAATTTACCTAACGACCTTGTATAAATGGTTGACGGAACACGGATTAGAAGAGATAGCAAAATGGCAAATATTATTAACAAAAATGATCGGATGTTTTGAAGACTCATGATCACCAACATCCTGAAGGGACACGGCATATAGAAGAAGAAACTTTTTTTTTTTTTTGCATTAAGGCCATTTTGAGTTTACCCCTTTTCATTTTGGAATTATCTTTTTTTTTTTTTTTTTTTTTCATTGTGGACATTTTTAATGTATTGTTTAACACTATCGATATTGTGCCCATTTTAAATTTACTATTTTCATTGTGGCCATTATGAAACCAATGTATTTCATTGTGGCCAATTTAAATTCACTTTTTTTCAGTGGGGTCATTTTAAATTTACTATTTTTTATAGCGGCCATGTTGAATTCACTGTACTTTGTCCATTTTGAATTTCCTGTTTTTAATTTTGGCCATTTTAAATTGTCTGGTTTTCCTTGTGGCCATTTTGGATTTACTGTTTATTTATTGTTGGCATTTTAAATTCGCCGTTTTTTCATTGTGTATTTTTTACATAGCATAACCTTTGATTTTGTATTTTTAGGATGAAAGTTTACGCGGAACCCTCAACGATTCCTGTGTCTATATGAATATGGAAGCGAAGTAAGTCCTTTCCTTCGTTTATGCCTTTTCGCATTAACTAGCACCTGAAAAGGTCATATCGAAATAAGTATCAGTTACGTTTTATTGGTAATAAATATATGTAAAAGTAGAACCAACTTAACCGCAGCATAGATGTTTGCAAAGCACAAGAGGATGTCTGGAGTGGCACATAGTAACAACACACACACACACACACACATATATATATATATATATATATATATATATATATATATATATATATATATATAGAGAGAGAGAGAGAGAGAGAGAGAGAGAGAGAGAGATCGGACATGTAGTGCTGTTGTTAATAAAAGAGTGATGTAATAAAACAGAGCTGTTAAATATGCATTAATAAATATTCATGTTATCCCTCACCGAAAGCACGACTCGGAGCTTCATGCACAACGCCATCTTCAGGGACTGAGTATAGACGAGTACATGAGTTAAATTTTAATAAAAACATATCTGGTTAACGCAGTGTTGGCGCATGTATATATCATACAGGGATTACAGTTTTTAATTTAAAAATATATTTGACATTTAAAATAAATGGGACGTATATATATATATATATATATATATATATATATTCATTCATTTTCCCACTATTGAAATGTATCTTCCCTATGCCTTTTCTATAAATATATTTACGGTAATTCTTCAGCTTTTTTACATTGTAAATGTCCTTTGGGCTTTCATTTTTAAATGTTGTTATTTTTATCCCCCCCCATCCCAAACAAATGATACATATGGGTATTACTTACGACTTCATAGAGACTTGCGGTATTATGGTGACTGTAGTAAGAATGGTAAGTAAGAATGTGTTGTTTTGGCGTAAGGAATACTGTTGTATGTTTGGGTCAGTAATCGTGGCTAGCTAAGTTTAAGATAAGACAGACTGGTGATCAGCTTTCATCTATTCTCCCTTTTGGCCTTGTATTAAAATAAATATTACTTTCCTCTTTCGTACGTAATGTGACAAATTTGAACGCAGTTCTCGGTCTCATAATTCCACTATTCAAATTCTTAATTATACCCATAATTCCAATAGTTTCTTGTCTTGCACTTCTCGCTTCTGGAAGTCGCTTCCGAGTTCCTCGCTTACGGTCTTTAAAGATTTAGACGCAATGTCAGTCGTCATATTCCGTCTCCTTGAAGCATGTTCTTTTATTGACCTCTATTTTCTTTTGTTTTACTCCCAGTAACCCTTTTCAATCTACTGGCTTTTATTCTCTTTCCTGGGGTAGTAGATTAAAAAAAAAAACACATCATTAAGTAGTTATTTTATTTTCAGATCTTGGCAGCTGAGTTAATAGTCACAGAATTAAAAAAAAAAAAAAAAAGCTACATTATCATTGCAAAAGAAATACGAAGTCTGTCTGAAATCCAACAGGACGGGGTTTGCTGTGTGATCAATGGGTGAAAAAGCGACGCTGATTGTGTTATCATCTTGGCGTATATAACGATAATTTTAGCTATTGCTCAGTGCGCGAGAAGAGACGAGAGTTGTTGCAGCATAAAACGTGACTGCCTCACCTCGCCAATTCACCTGCTCACAACGCCCTGAGCATCCGGCACTTCCTATCCGAAAAGTACATCGCCGTACAGGAGCAAAATCCCTATTCACCTGATTGACTTGCTACGTGTGACTTTTTTCTTTCCCCCAAGAGCAAAGGGATCACCAAGAGGACCCGTTTTGAAGGTTCGGAGACCATCAAGAGGGGGCCGTAACGATGGCACTGGGGATGAGGGTATCCAAGAAGTATTGTTCCAACAGTGCATTGAAGGATGGAAATGTGCATTAGACTCGAGGGGCGGGATTACTTTGAAAGGAACACTATGTTGTTTGTTGTTTGGAATTGAAATAAATTGTTTGTGACACCTGTCCCGTTACTTTTCAGACAGACCTCGTGTCATAAAAGAAAATTATGCCAAACTTAATCATAGAAAGATTTTACATTATTCGGACTATTGTCCTCATCTTTGCCGCCATATTTATCACAACGTTTCGGCCGTTGTACACTCCGGCCTTCTTCAGCTGGTTGGAATGTCGAACTGAACCCTTTATTTCGCTCACCGGGGTAGACTGTTCTAGTTCCACGTGCCATGTTTTGATGGATGTCAGTTATCAGTTATCTCCTGTTAATTTTCCCTCTGAAAGTTCTCCACTGACTTAACCGGGTATTGAACTCACACTCTTTGGGTCCTGTCACTGGATCTAACCAACGCCTTTATCCACTGTGCCATGTGTCCTTGAGGACCCGGTTAAGGCAGTTGAGAACTTTCAGATGGAAATTTACAGGAGATAACTGATAACTGACATCCATCAAACATGGCACGTGGAACTCGAACAGTCTACCCCGGTGAGCGAAATAAAGGGTTCGGTTCGACATTCCAACCACCTGAAGAAGGCCGGAGCGTAAATGTCCTAAAGATGAGGACAATAGTCCGAATAATGTAAATAATGTACATAATACCTCATCTCAGAAATATAGACAGACTCAGAAAGATTTTAATTTTTAACGTATCAAATCCTTTGAATTGGTTAAACAAAAAATCATTTTACCGAATTAAATGTATTTCTTTATTATTGTTTAGAATGTTTACGCATGCGCGACTATAGTGTTGACATTTTTTTTAATCAATATAATGATTTCTTTCAGAAATGCGACCGATCGCTGGAAGTATTCGGGTTGTTATTTGGCCAAGAAGACAGCAACACACACAGAATGTCATTGTTACCATATGACCAACTTTGCACTTCTGATGGACTTGCACGGAATTGGAGTGAGTATCAAATCAACAAAGAATTAGCAAAAATAAACTGATTAATATAATTAGCAAAATAATCTCCTGTTTGAAGGCATTTAGCGCCAAAAATCAACCATGACTACTGCTTCACTATTTCCCTCTGTCAAAAAAATTTACGCAGTGATGAGATAATCATTAGATTGAATGGAAAATTTTTCAAACTCTATCAGTGCTTTCGTAATATCAAGGGATACACAGAATTATGCAGGGTGGAAGACAGCTCGTGACCGAGTAAGACCATCACTTGTACTCGAAGTTTGTTAATTTCTTTCACACATATTAAATATCATGACTACGTCGATGATAATATCTCATGTTGCTTTTAAGACCTGCAAGAGACCCGCAATTCTTCCAACATTCCAGAGTTTCCAGATTTTAAGAATTATGTATGCATACATAAAACTGTGTGTTTGTGTGTATGTGTCTGTTGTCTGTGTGCGTGTGTGTATGAAGTATACCCTCCAAAAAAGGAAATCCAAATAGCAACACAAAATTAGGGACATTACCTAGAAATTAATGATGCCGAAAATAATTTAACACACACACACACACACACACACACATATATATATATATATATATATATATGAATATAAATATATACACACACAAACACACACACACACACACACACACACACATATATATATATATATATATATATATATATATATATATCAAGTATGTGGTGCAGTTCAATTTACATTACATGAATTATTCATATAAAAAACAGATATAGAATTTAATGATATAAATGGCGAGGATACATCTTCGCAAATAAATTTAATAAAGTACATTAACCCCGAACCTGTAGATGAAGGTTATGATCCCTGTTTATAAATTCCAGTTGCATAAGGTCTTTTTTTAGTTTTTTTACAAGCTTTCAACTGTTCATACAGACATCATCAGGTATGGAAATAGATTTTTTTTGTTTTTTACTTCTCGGTAACAACAGGACAACGAAAATATAGATGTAATCCGAAATATGTTTTAAGAAATCTGTTCTTGTTAATTGTAAGACTTTTTGGGGGAGCGTGCGGTCGCAACGCTGAGGTTGAATTTTTAAATTTTAAGATTGTGCGTTTTTGTACTAATATGGTAATAGGAAAATTCTTTTGTACTGGTAGGTTTTTAAGTCAATGTGGCATGAACTAAATTGTTCAATAAATACAGGAATGTCACAGTTATTATCCGAAAGTTGCACGTCGGATCAGTTATTTTAATATCGAGTATGTGGTGCAGTTCAATTTACATTACATGAATCATTCATACAAAAAACAACTATAGAAGTTAATGATATATATATAATGATACATATATATATATGTATGTATTGATATCAAATGAAGCAGAGCAGTGACCGACGACGGCTGCCAGTTTCAGACGTTTTCACGTAATCATCAGGTGGTTGGTAACTATAATGAGTCAAAATGGGAAGAACCTTTATACTCTCAGGCAAGTCCAAGAAGGTAAAAGTGTAGGCGGTACGTGCATATCATGTATACACCAACCAAAATCACCGGGGCGGTGGGGGTGGGTAACCCATCTAAGGTCAAAATATCCCTAAATATCACAATTTATAAGAAAAGAAGAAAAAAAACCCACCAGAAATCGTTCACCGGGATGACAAAAGAGTGCTCGATGTCATGGAGCACAATGGAACCATGGCAAAGATACTTTTGCGTTAAGCAAAAAAATAAATATTTAAGAAAACTGCAGTATTCAAGATGGCATAGAACACTCTTTTTTCCTGTGTGCAAACTTTGAAGACTCATTTGGGAGTTGCCCATATATATATATATATATATATATATATATATATATATATATATATATATATATATATATATATATATATATATATATATATATATATATATATACCAGGTGTAACAGCATAATTGTCCATCCCACAAAATGCTTAATATCTAAAAATCTAAACTGACTTTCTTTTTACCAGGTTTTCTAAGACATTTATCCATCTTGATACCATTTGTCGTAAGAATCATTGAAAAAAAACTTTGAGTTATTCACTTGTTCTCACAGGTTAAATGGTTTTGTGTCATCCGCACTATCTTCTCAACTGAGTAATTGGGAGAGGAAAATCCCTCAGGCCTTCAGTAATGGTACCAACATTCATACTCTGGCTTCCATCTTCAAGGTCTATCCAAGAACCATCAAGAGAACGGTGAATAAGTTTAAAATGATTGAACAGTAGAGAGGAAACCTGGATCAGGAGATCACAACAGGAAGAGGGATCATCATTTCAGCTTCGAACTAAAGTTATCAATTAGAAAAGATCCAACTCAATTCATAAGACGTTCGCACGTGAGTGGCGTTTTACCTGGGACAGCCCAAAGAGCTGTGAAAAAAGACTTGAAAATGAAATCGTACGTGAAACATGTAAGGCACATTGTTATTCCAGGACACACATAGAATGTCATTGTTTAGAAGGTTAGAGAGGGCGAAGATCATCTTGAATAATCTTGAAAATGATCTCAGAATAATATATATATATATGTGTGTTCGAACATTATTTCAATCCTTCATGAGCTTCCGATCCTTAGCTATGATTAATTAATGATGAAAATGTCAATTTCTTTTATGATCGATTTCATCACGATTCTTCTGTTAAGCTTAGAGAGTAATTATACATTCTTATTGCTCAAAGTAGCATCTAATGGTGTTATAAAAACATCGAAGAATTTCAGTAAGATATCTTTAATCATTTCTAAGATACAACGACTCAAATCTTAATGGAAGAATTGCACAATTTTACTGTTACACGATTTGGACAATTTTTCTGCTACACTCGCGACATATATATATATATATATATATATATATATATATATATATATATATATATATATATGTATATATACAAGTATATAAGTGGTGTATACGGAATGAATTCCAATAACAAACAACAATTACTATTCTTAAAAGAGTACTCAATACAAAGTAGAGCAGATATAATTATTTATTTAGAAAATTTATAACATAAACTTGTTATAAAATCACTACAAAAATAGCCATATCAAGTGATGATATTGAATGCATTCAATATCATCACTTGATATGACACTGGGAGTGTTGAAACAAAATGGCTATTTTTGTAATGATTTTATATGTTATAAATTTTCTAAATAAATAATTATATATATATATATATATATATATATATATATATATATATATATATATATATATATAATACCGGTGGTGAAAAATTCTCAAACCGTCCAAAATGGTCTTTATATATCCATTTATTATGAATGCTATATTTAGTAAGTACACGTGTTTGTTGGGGTATCCTATGACTTAAACATGCATTTACTGAAATTAGTGTATATCAGACTAATTCCGGATCGAAATCTTTAATGAAGAAACTATGCCTCTAGACAGGAACCGAACCTGTATTTCCTTTTTTTAATCTAGGCACCTCCTTTAAACTAATCGTGCTTTACCATTCATCCGCGAGATGTATTTAAAGCAAGGAAAACCTGAATTACTATACTTAAGACATGCAAATCTCTCGTAAGCTAACTTAATAACTCCACTCGGTTAGTAGCTGAATTTCATCTGATATTTTCAGTGTTTAATATTCAATCGAAGTGATTAATATACGTCATTGAATTAAGGTCGTTGACAAGAAATGAGATTATGTTGAAAAATGAGTAATTATATAACTGAATTGTTGAAAAATTAACAAGAGCTACCTCTTAATACATAGCTCCTTCCTTCATCTGAATAATGGCAGTTCTGTTAAAAATAAATATTTGTCCCGCAAGGTAAATGCTTTTTCATTATTAATCTCCAGTCCCATGTAATTACATGCACACACATATATGCATGTGTGTGTTTATGTGTGTGTGTTGGTGCGCATGCGCATACCGGTTTGGTCTAACCTGTCCTGCTTTGATGAGACTGTCACGGTAATATGCAAATATTAATTTAGTGCGTGCGCGCATGCGCGTGCGCGTGTGTGTCCGTGTTCGTGCCTGTGTGTTAGCTCTGAAGCCTAAGGCATGTTAGGTGATGAAAACGATAGTAAAACATAACTAAATTTGCAATTTAAAAAAAAAAATTATATCGGTTTGATGATTAGAAAATTATGTCCGGCACAGAATTGTCTTTCTTATGTTTGTTTATTTTTTTTTTTTTTAATGATTGACTTTAATTTTATTATTAACAACGTCGACAACAAAACAATTAAACAATAAAATGCGTTTTTGCATTTTCTAAATTTACCCAATTCTCAGAATTTTGTATAAGAATCAACAGTCACAAAATTTCTCGAAAAAAATTTTTTCCTTAAAATATTTCAAAACGAAGGCGACCTATGGTTGAATGCATATTAATTCTGTTTAATAAATTCTTTAGATAAATCTCAGAGACAGGACAGGACTTTAACGCCATATGAAATTTTCAGCCCTTCTTTTAAAAAATTCGGGTAAAATTATTTAACATAATTATACATGCTTATTATTTATTAATGATTATTTATAATTTTTGATGATTTAATGTTAAAGAATAAAAATTAATGATAAAATAGAAATTATATATTTAAAACAAATGAATGTCCCGAGCGTGTGTGACTACCGAGCGTGTGTGGTCTTAAGCTATAGCTTATTTAACTTATAAGTAAATTCAGAACTGCTTAGAGTGAAATAAAACTATTTTCTTTGCAAATTCCATGAATTAACGAAAGAGAAATATCGTATTAAGTTTTAAAGGTTCTAGCCTAGAAACTATTATAAGTAAAATGTTCTATGATTCGTTAAAAAATAGTTTTACAGTTATTATGCAAGATAAACGTATTTGCTGATCTTGGATGAAGAAACAAGAAAGAAAAGACAGTAGTAAATTAAAATTACATCCTTTTATTTCATTTACCTACATTTAAGAAGATGAATATTTTTCCCTAATTTGACGCATAGTTTTGGAATTAAGTTTTTGAAAGAATAGCATTTTATCAGTTTTATTGCATAGTTTCGACACCATTGATTAGGCTAATGTAAAGAAGATATTGATTGTCAGCAAGAGAAAAAAAAAATAAAGTTACGAACTAAGAATGTCGAAATCAAGCAATTACTAAAGTTTACTTTTCTAGGAACTGTTTTAACAGAGGCTCATTGGAATAGCAAAAGGTGCCTTCCGAAAACTAAGTAAAGTATTAAGAAACAGGAAAATGCGATTAAAAACAGAGAATAGATTTCTAAACTGCTATGAATTATCAGTCGTAGTATAAGGCAGTGAATGTTGGACAATCTCCTCATCGATGAGAAGTTAGTAACAGAAATATGGTTCTGCAGAAGGATGCTGAAAATACCATTGACGGAACGCGTGGAAAACGCGGTAGTCTTAAGGGAAATTGAAACAAAAAAAATACATATTCAGAATCAAAAAGAGAAAGTTCATATTTCTGGTACACATAACGAGGAAGGAAGGTTTGGAAAATATGAGACTCACAGGACATATCGAAAGTAGAAGGAACGGTGGAAGGCAGAGCGCTATCTAATGGATGACAGAACGAGGAATAGGAAGCATGTTTATAAAGTTGCATAGGATTGGTGGTTGTGGGGAGCCATGATTATCCACGTCCTGAAGGGACACGACACAAAAAAGAAAAAGTGTAGCATAACAAAGCCTGTGACCTTTTGACAGACTAAACTCTGATCTGCTTAGTGTTTAAGGAAGTTATGGAATACCAATTGATGCCTATGGATTTCGGGAAGAGTTAAGTTACTGAGTAAGTATCAGTTCAGTTATGTGTCATACGTGATACTCGCTTAGACGATCATGTATCTTTCGATACATGACTGACGAGGCAGATTTTTTTGCCCGCAGTAGGTTGCCATTTCTTTCTGCGGTAGACCAGTTACCATCCAAATCTGTAGAACCCGATCTGTCCTACTAGTTAACCATAGCTTGGGGGGAGAAGAAATTTCTTTTCAAAGCCCCCCCCCCGTCTCCAGCTATGGTTAAGTAGCAGGACAGCCTTGTAAGTATAGCGTTGTGAAAAAGAAAAATAAATGATTTTTTTTTTATATTAATTTCAGTTTTCCATTTCGAAGACTCACCAGACGGCGCTGTCTTATATTTCATACATCGGAGGAGCTTTATCTATTCTCGGTTGTGTCTTGTCCCTGTTCACCTTTGAGTACTTCCGGTAAGATACATCTACATTATTTTTTTCTTCCTGAATGCGCACACGCATGCGCAGTCATCTCCAGCGTGATCTTCTGACCAAGTGACACTAATCTTGTTAACCCTCGATCCACCGTAAACAAGCAATCTGGAAGGCATGTTTTTAAATTACCCTTGATAATATCCCAAAGCAAAAGAAACGTATAAGGCTCATTTTCCTCTCCTCCGACTTCCCTTAATACCCTGGTGATTCATATACACAGCTCTATATAAAAACAGTCCGATAAAGAAATTGCAAGAACTTCTGACGATCACATTGAAACGTATGACCATACACCATACCATGTTGATCATATGTTCACACTCTATAAACGCTTGATCTTAGATATTGAGCACTCTCCTCTTATAAATGGTATATATATATATATATATATATATATATATATATATATTAGCAAATTTTGTACCATAGAGAGATTTTCTAAGCGCAGCACAAGGCCAAAAGACTTGCTTATCCAGTGCAGATCAAACTCAGTACTCAGTGATCTAACGCGACAAGATGGCTAACCATTACACGACGTTGAAGCGAAAATTTATTTTTACCTTATTTATATTACGGATATTAATGGCAAAATGTATTTTGTGGTGGGCCTGAAGCTTTTCATCCTTCAGGCCTTCATCGAACTGAAAAAGAGTGAAGTAGCTGATGCAGAAATGTTAAACATTAAATTTAATTTTATTCTTAATATGTGATTGGGTATATACTAGGAAATTGGCTAGACTATCTATCTATATCTATAATTCTCAAAATGTGTCTGTGTGATCGGATGTTGTTTATGCGTTTCCACATTTTGCATTCTATTTCGATTATTTTTTTTTTTTTTTTTTGATAGATAATTCTTCAGTGTCGGTTTTGAGTCCAAATACTGGCAGGAAAAAATTACAACATTGATGGTTAAAAATCGAAAAACTGACTTTTTACACTTTGCACAAAAATCAAAGGCAAAATTTAATGTCTTTAAAAAACGGCGTACAATCAATTTAGAGAGTTGAAATCTAACACAAAAAATTATTAGAATTAAAATATATATATTAGAAATAAAAATTACCGTATATTATTATTATGACAGCCTATGGAACAGGTCCCTTCCTTGCAAGATTGAGAACGCAAAAACGGCCCTTTTCAAGGCTACCCCCCACATTCAAATTGTTCACCCACCCCCATTTGGGGATGTGCCTCAGTTGCACCCAGTTGTTGTTACTAATATTGATTTTCTTGTGGGCTGACTCTAAAATTAAACTGTTCCAACTGAACAGCAAAAATTCCAAGTAATGAAAGACTTGGACGAAGACGGGTTATACTGCTAGTGTATACATATATATATATATATATATATATATATATATATATATATATATATATATATATATATATATATATATATAAGCTTGCCAATTATATTTAGTTTCTTTTTGTTTATGTTTTTATCACTTTTGTCATTAAATATCCCACATTGTGATAATAGAAGACCTGCCAAGAAAGGTTAACCGGTGTCAGAAACTGGAAGCATATTTACTAGCGATCAGAGCACTTTCTATACAGATTCGTCTTAGTAAATTGTTTTCTCTTTTAATCAAATAGCATTTTTGAATTGAAATTATGCTCAGATTCAATGCATTGAGTGTGTTGTGAGGTAAAATATCCCTTTTATATCCATGTAATATTTTAATTATTTCCCTCGGAGTTTCTCCTATGTATTTCTTGTGGCAATTAATACAGGTGATAGAGTAAATTTTTTCTTCAAGTTTTAGCTCATTATTATTCCTAACATTGTTCCGGTATATAAAATTGTACGTATCACTTTTTCACATGCAATATATATATATATATATATATATATATATATATATATATATATATATATATAGATAGATAGATAGATAGATAGATAGATGATGTTGTCTGGCCGCTTGTATCTAATATGCTTACTAGAGAAAAATAAGCGCTCACCGGAGATCACATTTTTGTCTAATAAAATTTCTCGAATATTCAGGACGGTAGACGAAAATAAATATATATACCGTTTAATAAATAAACGGAATGTTTACTCAAATACCAGTATCCACTAAAAATAACGTTTAAGTAATAATATATATATATATATATATATATATATATATATATATATATATATATATATAGATAGATAGATAGATAGATAGATAGATAGATAGATAGATAGATAGATAGATAGATAGACAGACACGTGTGTGTGCGCGCACGTGCGTGCGTTTGAGGATAACGAAAAGAAATTTTTTTTTTCCTTCTAAATTTCACAGTTGGCAAAAGATAGAAATTTTATTTTATTTTTAGTTAATTTTATTTTTATTTTTATTTTTTTAGCTTAAAACGAAACAATGCATTTCGAAATCGCTACTCACCGGTGAAAGCAAGGTCGTTTTTTCTTTTTTCTTTTTGTTATTGTTTTGGAAGATTTTTTTTTTCTTTTTTTTTTTTGCCTTAAACTCCAAAGGTTAAAAAAGTAAGAAATATCTCAACCACACAAATTTAAAAGACGGATATTTCATCATCCTGACTAAAACCTCTGCTCTTATCATTAAACTACACTTACAAATGCTTTGCGAATAACCAACCAGGTAGATATTGACTGAGCATATGTGCTGAAGACGTGTAATTCTTGTTAAAAGTGCTGGTTCTTCAGCTGGCCCGAAGTTAATATCAAAATTCTTGGATGCCAGCTCAGTTAAATCTACTTTGGCTCTCTGCAACAACTAATGAAAACACATTTTCTTTTCAGATTACCGACTTCACTGAAGTTGATAAATTATTTTACCAGCTTTCATAAAACCATAAATATAAGCTAAAATAACAGAGTTGTTTCATGTCGGAAAAATATAACTTACATTCAAATAATCCAGGGTGCGATGAATAAATTGTCGTCTAAATGACGCAAAAATGAAAATAACACTGATATCTCATTTTAACATATATTTACCAAAATTACACAAAAATATCTTGAAATACAAAAGAGTAGATTTATTCAATAAAATCGCCATTAACTTCAACCACGGCTTCCAGACGACTTCGGAATCTCCTGCAACTCTCCTGGACGGTCTCCTTGTTTAAGTTGGTGAATGCTGCCACAATTCTTGCTTTCAGTTCATCTTTGGTGTTACAAGGAGTTTTGTTACTCTCTCGCTCAACTCCTCCCCAAACATAATAATCCAGGGGGTTACAGTCTGAGGAGTTAGGCGGCCAGATGTAAATGGTGATATAGTCGCAGAAATTGTCTGACAGCCATGACTGGGTTCTCCTGCCTGTGTGGCGTGATGTAGAGTCCTGTGGCCAGACATAAGGTCTTCCAGCAGACATCCTCTTGAGCCAGAGCAACACTACCCACTCAAAGCACTTGATGTAGGCCTCCGTGTAGAGTCTGCGGTCCTGTGGGAAGATAAATTAAGTTATAACGTCGCCATCACTAGTGATGACTCCAAACACCATGATTTTGACTGGATATATTATCCAACTCTTTCAGAATCCTCTGCATTTTCCTTAGATTGACACCCAAATACTTTAAAATGTTCGTATTGAAGCTTCTGGCGCGAATGCCAAACAATACAGCCTGCCGTTTCAAAATTTCTGGCAGGGGAAATTGCGCCAGGAGGCTCTTTTCTCACAGACGGTGCCCAGCTGACTCTACTGTGCCGTCTACCAAATCAAAGACAACCAAAAATATAATATGGCGACAATTTACACGTCGTACCCAGTATATACAAACGCAAGTCTTTTAGTTTCTCTGCTGCCAGTCTGATATTTAATTTGCACAAAATTTGATTAAAATGAAAGGCCCTATTCCCATTTTTAATTCTGTCATTCAATTCTACAGGTACAAGGGAATGCTGAAAAGCTCCTTACGATAAAGGAATTTTTTTTCAGCACTTCAATGTATGTTATACTGGAACACACCTATTCTATAGTTAATAGACTCTCCCACCTATAATAAGTAGTAGTAGTAGTAATAGTCGCTCAGCGAGTTGGTCAGTCAGTCGATGCCGGACCCATTTTTATACTAAAATTTACCAATAAAATACTGGAGAGCGACTCAATGTAGATAGTTATAGTTAAAATGATAACCGTGAAAGGGGGTGTTTGATATAAATTAATGTGGAGGTGATAGGGAGTAAACATTTTGAGGGTAGATAACGCTTTTTTATAACCTTTTTTTTAATTCAGTCGATGTCGGACGACCGTTAGTCGGATATTAAAGTCTCAGCCACCACAACTAGATTGCTGGGTCATTAACTATTATATCAAGTTCCTAAGGTTTTGTACGTCGAACCTATTTTAGGACCGACTTAGTACAAATACAAGCCTCCACTGGGAAACTACTACATAACAATTTACCAACAATACATATTTATAGTAAAATTACCAGCAATATCTTTTATAGAATTAGCAACAATATATTTTACTGCAAAATGACCAACAACAGATTTTATCTGGTAGTTGAAGGCATCCAATTGCGTTCAAAATATATTTAGTTGAAACGATAAAATCGTGTTCAAAATATTTAGATTTCAGCATTAAATAACCCATAGAGGTGTCGATATGCCGTTAAAGAAAATCAAACAACGAACCAACCAACCGACCTACCAAACGGCTAATCTACGGTGGCCCAAGAAACATAGTGACTAAAAAAACAAATCGAGCAACTACGTGATCTGAGTGTTAGGGTGGTCTAGATATAAAGCTGAAGGTGTAGCCGAGGCGTCTGCCAGAATTTTCGATAACAATTAAAGAGATTTAATGATGGCGAAGGATTTTTCATTATCAGGAGAGCTAATCTAAATTCTTCAGTGCTTACATTGTACATATTAAGAAAGAATAGCGTACTGAAGTTATATTATTACTAAAAAGACGGAGAAAATTATTTAAACTAATTGTTTAATGATATTTGGTGTTTACAAGCTATGAGCCTTTGTTAAAAACCTAATTCTCTT